GAGGGACAGACATAGAAAGATTGCATTCATCTGGGGAATATAACGTAACAAAATAGGAGACTAACATCCAAGAATAGTCGAGAAAAGTACCAGGAGGTTCACTCCATGGCTTGAAGGCCAGCCGCACATGCTAGAGGAAAAGGCAGCTCAGATAGAGAAGGGAACACCAAGTAAAGGGTGTTGGGAGGATCCTCCCAGAATGGGAGATGCATGCTGAAAGTAGACTATAGACCGAACATGATTGCCATTCAATGTTTCTTTTGCAAACCACAACACCCAAAAGGAGAGAGAGAGAATAAAAGGGAATGCCCTGCCACAGAGGCAGGATGGGAGGGGGGGAGGTTAGGGGAGGTGGGAGGGTTACTGGGATCATTGGTGGTGGAGAATGGGCACTGGTGGAGGGATGGGATCGATCATTGTACAACTGAAACCCAAACACAAAAACTTGTAAGTCTACAACTGTACCTCATGGTGTTTCACTAATAAATTTTTTTAAAAAATTAAAAAAAATAAAGTAAAATTATAGATGAATATCTCTCATAGTAAAGTAAAGGCCCTCCCGTTGATCATCGATTTGCTCGAGCGGGCCCAGTAACGTCTCCATTGGAGACTTTGTTGTTACTGTGTCTGGCATATCGAATACTCTCGGTAGCTTGCCGGGCTCTCCGAGAGGGGCGGAGGAATCGAACTTGGGTCGGCCATGTTGGCTGCGTGCAAGGCAGACGCCCTACCCGCTGTGCTATCGCTCGATGTCAGAATTCTAAATTTAAAAATGGGCAAATCAAATCTAATGATGAGTACCAAGGCAGGTGACGCACGAGCACCCTGTGCTCTGTCCCAGGAGTGCAAATCATTTGGCTCTGGAAATCGGTACTCTATTTCATTACATTAACAGAACGGAGAACATTTATGTGGTTTTAGAAGCTTCAGAAAATACATTTCATAAATCACGACACATATTCATAATTTTTTAAAGAGTCAGAAAACCAAGATAGAAGAAAAAAAACAAGATAGAAGAAATATACTTTGACCTGATAATAGGTATGTGCGCACGCACGCACACACACACACACACACACACACACACACTCAGGAAAGAACACAGCTAACAATGTGTGTAAGGACGAGATATCAAATACTTTAACCCTGGGGTTAGGAAGAGATGAGAAATGCCTTATTTCAGAGGTCCGAGTCAATGCAATAAGGTAAAAAAAAGATATATTTTTAGAAACTTATAACTTATCTAACCTGAGTTTTAAAGAAACAGAAAATATGAACTGACCTATATATTATAAGGATAAGGAATCAGTTGTTCAAAATTGCCAACACAAAAAAAGCCCAGAGTCAGATTATTCCTTCCCTGGAGATTTCTCTCAAATGTAAATAAGGTGAAATGGCAACCTGTCTCAAACTCATGCCCGAACCAAAGAGAACACATATAAACTATAAACTCATTTTATTCGAATCAACACTGCCCTGACACCAAAGACAGCCAAACACTAAAAGAAAACCCCAGACCAATATTTTTGGTCATTTTTGGTTAAGGGCTATGGGTAACACCTGGCTATGCTCAAGGGCTACTCTTGGTTCAGTGCTCAGGGATCAATCCTGGGATGTCCAGAGCACCAGGCTGCACCAGGGATCCGGCCTGGACTCCTGCATGGCAAGTCTGCACTCCTGCCCATTGTCATCTTCCTGGTTCCCTGGGTGAATACTGATGCAAAAAGTCTCAACAAAATCCTACGAAACAGAAGCCAACAGTACACTAAAATAGTCATACACCTAATGAAGTGGGATTTAGCCCTGAGATGTTAGAATACATGTTCAAAAATGCACCGAAGCAATAAGGGGAGAGGGGCGGAAATCACACGATCACTGGGATGGATGCAGAAAACAAAATTGACAAATTTCAACACCCTTTCATGACAAAAAGCACCCAGTCAAGTAGGAGCACTAGGAAATCACCTCAACACATTAAAGGTCATATGTGAAAAGTCCACAGTTAACCTAAGAGTCAAATGGTGAAAAACAGAAAAAAATGCCCAGTCTCGTCTCTTCTATTGAACATTGGGAAAGAAGTTCTAACCAATGTACTTAGGCTATAAGAAAGAAGTTTAAAAACAATGCAAATTAAAAAAGAAAGAGTAAAATGATCTCTGATGATGATATGATCTTGCACATAAAAGTCTTACAGATTCCACACCAAAAAACTATTGAGCGAGTAAGTAATTTAGCAAAGTCATAGGATACAAAAATCAAGAGTCAAAAATCGATTGCATTTCTATATACTCACAAGGAAAAATTTAAATTAAACAATACCCTTTACAATAGCACTGAAAAGAACAAAATACTTCAGAATACAGTTTTCCCAGAAGGCCATAGACTTGTATAGTGGAAACGACAAACTATTGCTGGAAGAAATTAAAGAAGGTAAAAATTAATGCAAAGAAATTCCATACTCAGGGTTGGAGAGATAGTACAGCAAGTAAGGCACAAGTCTTGCATGCAGCTAACTCTGGTTCAAGTCCTGCATCACATATGGTCCCCTGAGCACCACCAGGAGGGATCCCTGAGCACAGTCAGAGCTAAGGTCTTAGCGCAACTGGTACAAAGAAGGTACAAAGGAAGGGTGGGAGGGAGGAAGGGTGGGAGGAAGGAAGGGAGAGAGGAAGGAAGGGAGAGAGGAAGGAAGGAAGGAAGGAAGGAAGGAAGGAAGGAAGGAAGGAAGGAAGGAAGGAAAGAATTTAACCTTTATGGATTGGAAGATACAATATTTAACTGTATGGAGCAAGTTAGAAGTTAATGAAATCTCTGAAAATCACAGTATCTCAAATACCTCAGAGACATCTGAGGCCCATGCTCAGGACAGAATTATTTACAGTAAGCATGATGTGGAAAGTCACCTAAATTCACCGGGCTAAGGAATGGGTAAAGACAATAGGATATTAATTAATCTTTAAAAGAACAATCTGCAATGCAAATTAACGTCGGGCTCTAAAACTCTGTGAAATAAGTCATTCATCAAAACAAACAGAAAACCAAAAACCCAAACAGAGAAAGCCTACAAGGTTCCACTCCTTGGCACACTCGAAGTCATCGGGCCCAGGGAAATGGAAAGTAGAATGGTGGTTGCCAGGGGCTGGTGGGCGGGGGAAACTGGGAGTTGTTGTTCAGAGGTGCTTGAGTTTCAGTCACACGAAAAAAAGATTTCTAGAGACTCGTGGTCTGGCCATGTGCATGCGGTTATAATACTGAGCTGTGTCCTCGAGGTCGTGACGAAGGTAGAACAGAGCTAGTGGTTAGCAAAGGCCAAGTCTGGGCTCTGGTTGGCACCAGCCTGCCCACCTGGAGCCACGCACCAAGAGGTCCCCAGACCCGGCAGCCAGTGGAAGGGGCGGACTCAGTCGCTATTTTTTTTCTTTTTGGGTCACACCTGGCGATACTCAGGGGTTCCTCCTGGCTCTGCACTCAGGAATTACTCCTGGTGGTGCTCAGGGAACCATATGGGATGCTGGGAATCGAACCCGGGTTGGCCGTGTACAAGGCGAACGCCCTACTGGTTGTGCTATCTCTCCAGCCCTACTGGTTGTGCTATCTCTCCAGCCCTACTGGTTGTGCTATCTCTCCAGCAGCTATTTCTGGGTGGGTTTGGAACTCCCATTTGACAAAATGGGAGCGCAAGATATACCAATGCAAAAAATAACTCTGGGATTGCTGCACGTCGACCATAAGCAGAAAAAAAAAATTTCAGTGGCAGAATGTTTATCAGTATAAAAATCAATTAGAATTATTTCTAATAAAATGTGCTTCACAGAAACTCATTTCTTAAGACAATAAGAGAGCCCAAGAATATATGAGTATAAAATAGATTTGAGTATTTAACGCTTGAAAGATGTCAGTTCTCGGGGGCGAGAGTGATAGTTCAAGGGGCAGGGTGCTTGTCTTGCACGCAGCTGGCCTGGGTTTGATTCCTGGCCTTGGTATGGCTCCTGAGCACTGCCAGGTGCAATTCCTGAGTGCAGAGCCAGGAGTAAGCCCTGAGCACTGATGCATGTGTGAAGGAAGGGGGGAGGGAAGAAGAGAGGGAGGGAGAGGGAAGGAAGAGAAAGAGGGAAAGAGAGAGATGGGGGGGAGAGGGAGGGAGAGAGGGAGGAAGGAAAGGAGGCAAGAGGGGGTGAGGGAGTCTCTGTAAGATTACACTCTGGAGAACTTCTGGCATTTTCTGCAAGGAAAACAGTTTGGTCCATGAAAAAGAACAGAGTAGTGAAAAACTCCCAAATCCTAAGCATTTGGCTCCCAGCACAGGCAGAGAGAAGACAAGGAAGGGAGTGCAAGTCAATGTTCTTGGGAAAAGAACTCCCGCCCTCCACTCCACCACTCCTAAAACTAAATCCCAGATATACTGTAGACATGCAAAACAATAAACATTCAGAAGAAAATTCCAGATAGTATCGCCTGCAAGCAAGCAACAGACCTTAAAATCACCGAGAAAACTCCAGCTTCAAAGACTGGCAAGATGGACTTCGCCAAATTAAGAACTTATTCATCAAAAATTTCAACTGAAATGGGAGATTATGTATATTGTATACATGTATATATTCTATATATAACATACAAGATAAATATAATACCTTGTGATACTGATTATACATCATTCTATGCAATGGTGCATGATTCTTATTGTGATATATTTATGCGCATGATACAAATAGATTCTATACTTTGTATATCTTCAAGCTCTGTAGGGCTGCAAAACGATTAGAAATAATTTTATCACAAGTAAACTCAATTTTTTAAAATCGGAAAAATCCTTAGAAAAGCACAACAGCAGAATATTCAGATGGCAAATAAGCACAACTAAAGGTACCCCAAATTAATACTTATCAGAGACAGGCACAGGGACACCCCAAAAGCCCAGCACCCCACCCCAGTCCAGCAAGGCGACTGTGACATTTCCAAGAGTCAGAAAGAAAATGGAGGACGAAATTCTCTGGCCCTACCCCACTTTTCGGTAGGAGGACAAGGTGTTTCGGCCCCGTGGTGAAGCTTCGGCCACACAAACGCCCCAACTACCCCATCTCGTCTGCCGGGAGACGAGTGTCTGCACATCTCCAGGCACCCGCTCTGGAAAGAACCCAAGTTCCTGCAGCTCGGCCCTCACCAATGAGTCAGGACTGAGCTTCCTTTAGTTCCCCAAAGCGGTGACCATCTGCGACGTGACCCTGGGGGGGCGGGGGAGGGGGGCTGAAAGTGAAAGGTGAGTGGACAGAGCGGCGTGGCTGGTTTCCCATGGGGACCAAGAAGCGAGGTGGGTGATCCAGGGACTCCCCAGGAGGCCCGGACACCAGAGCCAACGGCTGGCCAGAAGGGGAAGTGTCAGGGCCGGGGGCTTCCCGAAAGGGAACCCAGAAGGAGGGGCTCCCAGGGTCCCCGCTAGCCTCCAGCCCGGCCCCTCCAGCCCAGGCTTGACCCTGCGTGCCCCCACGTCTCCCCACAGCACATCACAGAATGCCCTGTATTCGGGGCCTGATCACTCCCCCCACACCCATTCTTTCTGCTCCTCACCCCATTTCATTTCCATCATGGGCTTTAAAGCCCCCCCACCCCGTGTCCTGGGGCTTGGGCCTCCCCCACTCCTCCATCACGTGGCATCCACGTGGTGCGTGCTCCAGGTCCCCTGCCCTGCCCCCTCCTAGGCTGGCTCAGCATCAGGACCAGTTCGAAGGTTTCCCTGTCCTTGACCTGGCCAAGGGCTTGAGTGACTCCTTCCTGGGGAGCCATCCCTCCAGCCCAGCGTGCAGCGCAGCAGGCGGGAACTTTAGGTTCCGTATCCCTGTGTGGAGGGACACGTGCCGGCCACACTCGCTGGCTCAGGCTCAGCCAGCTTCAAGCGAGACCAGAGGCAAGAGTGAGAGGCCATGGGACTGGAGCGATAGCACAGCGGGTAGGGCGTTTGCCTTGCACGTGGCCGACCCGGGTTCGATTCCCAGTATCCCTTAGGGTCCCTTGAGCACTGCCAGGGGTAATTCCTGAATAGTGCAGAGCCAGGAGTAACCCCTGTGCATCGCCGGGTGTGACCCAAAAAGCAAAAAATAAATAAATAAAAAATTTTAAAAAAAAGAGCAAGAGGCCATCACCTGTGCTCGGGGTGCTTCAGTCCTGAGCTGAAGCTCATCCTTTCTGCCACCTCTTCCCTAATTTCACGCACCGGGGGCTTAGGCGGAGAAGGAGAGGAACCCCACTGTCCCCCACAGCCTCCTCCCCCTCGGTCAGAACACTGTCTCCTTCTCCTCTGCTTTCTCCTCAGGCGTCCACTTCACTGCGGCCCCCTCTCTCAGTTGTGCCTCTGCTGGGCTCCTATCTCGGCCAACTCTGAACTTGAAACCGGACAGGAAGTGCCTCCAGTTTCTCGCCGGCTCCAGAGGCTGTTCACAGGGTACCACAGAGCAGGCAAAGGGGCTGGAACAGCAGGAGGCCACGTGTGGCGGGAGAGTGGGGAAGGAGCCATGGGGAGTGGGGACAAACGCGGATGGGGGGAGGGGAGACTGGCTGAGTGACAGGTGGAAGGATGAAGGGGAGGGTGGATGGATGCACCCACTAACGGCTGCATGAGTGGATGGATGAGTCGATGTGCGGATGGACGGATACGTAAAGGGATGAATTCGTGGGTGAGCAGATGAACATACATCTGAATTCGTCTGTGGGTGGAAGGAGGAGGGGACAGAGGGACGAAGGGACGAGTGAGGCTAACTGCTCTCCTGTCTGTGCTCTCCTGCATCCTCCCCCACCCCACCTGCCCCCGCCACACCTCAGCACCCCTGGGTGGCTGCTGTCACCAATCAGTGACGTGCCGAGTGGGATCTGGGATGTCCATGTGGCATGATGAGATGTCAGGCGGGGAGGACCTGGGTCAGCTCTGCCCCGAACCCCCTGCAACCTCTCCTCCCCTGCGCTATGGGGGCCAGAGGGCAGTGCCAGCCGCCCCCCCCACACACACACAAGCTAGTGATGTTAGCTGCTTGCTACAGTGTTTCTGTTTGTTTCTAACTGGTGCCAAGGGAGGGGGGGGTCCGAGGGCGGGGGTATCGGGAACCTGGGATCCGAACTGAGTCAGCAAGAGCCCAGCTGGGTGGGAAGAACGTGTCCCCTTTCCCGTGCCAGCTCGGAGCTTGTGCAATCTCCCCCTCCTCTCCCCCTCGCGGGCTGTGAACCCCGTAGCCTGGACCGCTGTGGCCTCCTGGGACTTCTCCCAGCCTGTGTGACCTGTCCCAAGAGGGAAGAAACACCCCAGGCCCAGCCCCTCTCCCAGGGCAACTGGGCAGCCTCCCCAGCTGTGCAGACTCAGCCCAGCGTCCAGGGGCAGAAAAAGAAGGGGTGTGGGTGATGCATGGCTGCTTGAGGCCACGAGGTGGGGGTCCCAGGGGACTGGTGGATAGGTCTGGCTCCTCCTGGACAGGTCCTCATGCCCGTCTGCTCTGGGCCCAGAGTGCTGCCCGGCTGTGAGGGACCCACCTGCACCCAGACCCAGCCTGTCATACTTGCCTGCTCCCCTGGGGCAGACCCACGTGGTGAGTGCTGGGTGCAGGGTGGGGGTGTGGGGGGCTGCACGGGGCTCTGCCCCGGCCCCGGGGTGTTCTCAGGCATTTCCAGAAGTCCCGGGTTTACTCAGTTCTCTCATCTGACAGTCAGAAAAGTCCCTGAGGCCAGGGCCCAGGGCGAGGAGCTGGGTGAAGCCACCTGTAAGTCTGCCCTGGGCCTCGGGTCTTCCTACAACCTCAGTCCCCGCCCCTCAGTTTGGGGCAGGGAGACCCGTGTGAGAAAGGGGCTGGGAGGTGAGTGATCCCCCCCTTTTTTTTCTTTTTGGGTCCCACCCGGCAATGCTCAGGGGTTCCTCCTGGCTCATGCACTCAGGAATCACTCCTGGCGGTGCTCAGGGGACCCTATGGGATGCTGGGAATCGAACCTGGGTCGGCCGCATGCCGACCAGCTGTGCTATCGCTACAGCCCCGATCCCCCTTCTTGAGCAGGCATTCCTCCCTTCCTATGTAGCACATGTCTCCCCCCTCATGCCTCAGTTTCCCCATCTCAGTTGAGGGGATGAAGATGCCAGCAGCTGTGTCCATATTCGGGTGCACGCAGGCCATGACCAGGCACCGTGAAGGTGAAACGGGATGGTCACAGCTCCCCGCCCCCACCCCGAGTCTCCTTCCCAGGGATGAGCAGGTGTGTGGTCAGCACCAGCTGGGCTTGGCCTCTCGGCAGATCTGAGAGAGCGGGAAACCCCATGGCTCACTCAGCAGTGGAGGTGGAAACTGAGGCTCAGAGGGGTCCCGGAGTTCCTGGGGCCTCACAGCCGCAGTGTGGCGCTGACTCTGGCCTGATGCACTGACCATGGTTGGGACCCCCACCACTCAAACCCTCCTTCCTGCCGGGCAAGAGGGGTGCCCGGCAAACCTGCCAACCCCCTGGGGTGGGGCACGGGGGTTCTTCCTCCTTCCCGGGGGGCAGAGACTTCCAGGGAACACAGCTCTTTTCCGTCCAGCCTGACCCCCACTGGACTCCCCCCACCCCGGTCTTTCTCAGTACCCCAGCCAGGAGATAAAGGAGACCCTCTCCCACCCCCTCCCCCTCCACCGGTCCTGAGGATTCTGGGAGCACCAGGGCTGGGACCCAGGGCTGCGAGGGCTCGGCCAGCAGCTCACCCGTTGCTGAGCCTCTGACCCTCACAGAGCTCACCAGGCTGCAGATGCACCTGCCTTCTGCAGCTGAGCCAGTCAGCAGGAGGTCACAGGGCCAGGATGGTGACGGTCCAGCCCAGCCTCTCCCCAACCAGCCCCACCATGAGCTTCTGAAAGCCCACCCCACCCTCATGGAGCGCAGCCCAGCTTTCTAAAGCTTCCAAGCCGTCGGGTTCCCTTCCCCTGACAGCCTCACTCCGTGGTGTCCCTGCCGGCCGCGTGTCTGCCGTCCCCTGTGCTCCGCGCACCGAGTCCCCGGTCTGAACCCACTAGAAACACCTGCCAAGCTGGTGGGAGGCTCCGCCTCAGGCATCGGCTCCGTCCTGGTGACAGGGGCTCACCCACCCACCGTGTCCCAAAGTAAAATGATCCAGATGACGGCACAAGAGCAGGCCAGGCCACGTGACAGCCATGTTGCTCTCAGCGGGATCCAGGAGGAGTCCTGGCCCCTCCTTTTTGGTTTCCACAGATGTTGCGGGTTCTCTCAGCCACATCCCCCCTCCGCCCACCCCCCCCCCCCGCCACCCCGTGGCCCCTGCACTTTCCTGAGCAGAGACCGCCGAGACCCCCGGGCCTCGCTGCTCCGGCTGTGTTCTCCGACCAGGGCGAGGACCCCCGGGCCTCGCTGCTTCAGCTGTGTTCTCTGACCAGGGTGCCCCCTGCCCGGGCCTGTGGGGAGGGTCCGGCCCCCAGTTACCTGCAGTTCCAGCGTCCCCCTCACAAATCCATGCCACGTGCTCCGGGAGGGGGAGGTAGCCGGCTGTGGCGGGCTGTGGCTGGGGGGGAGATGGGTGGGGGGGCTGAGGGATGAAGGTGGAGGGGTTGTCCACAGCCGCCACAGAGTCACCGAGGAGATCAGCAGGTGGCCGGTGGTCGCACACAGGGGTCACTCCACAGCAGACGGCGAAGACAGACAGGTGGGCAGGCACACAGACCCGACAAGCAGCAGGACACACCGACAGGTGGGCTGCCAGGCGGGCAGCCGGAGCCGCCGGCCACCCCGGGGAGACGCAGGCTCTGAGAGTGTCTCAGAGGCAGATGCCATCCCGGGCACAGCTGTGCAGGGGGAGGAAGGGGAGGATGTGGTGAGGCTGGGCCCCGCCCGCCCCACCCCGCCCCTGCTCGGCGACTCCGCCCCGGGCTGAGAAACAGGTGGGAGGGGACAGACAGACAGGGCCGCAGCTCTCCAAAGGTCGCTGCCTGGTCGGAAGACATTTGGGGCTGCCACAGTGACGCCACTCCAGCCACCCCCGCGAGTCTCACAATCAGACGGCGGGGGCGGGGG